TGGCCATGCCTGCTTCAAAGTTGTGGCATGTATTTTCTTTGTGGATGAAATAGATATCTCTGATTTTGTCCCATGCTTGCTCAAATTCAAATGAATTACATGACAGTTTCTGCTTGATATTTCTTCAAAACATGAATATAATATGCGTTTTTATAGACATAAATTTAGCCCACAAAGGGCAGTGGCACCTTTCTCTTTTCCATTAGCTAGTGTGTCTTTTTCCTTTTGCATATAAGGGGCAGTATGTTTGTAATCGGTTACTTTATGGGGTTAGTTTCATAATTTACTTGTTGACTTTTCCTATCTAGGGGACAACCAGCATGTAAAGGTATTATTATTATGAAGTAAATTTTTTCTCCCCTCCCTAAGCTTTCAATATTCCATCTTCCATCTTCCTTCTCTTCCCTTCTTCCTCTTGATCTTTTTCTTGCAATCTCTATGTTGCAGATACTTCAACCAGAGCCTGCAGTTATCCTCATCTCCCTCTCTTTAGTCTTTACTCCATTTTTCCTTCCTTTTCCCCCACAGATTCTTCTGCTGTTTACTTTCCTCTACCCATTCTCCTTTTTGTCATGTCCTCCTCCATGTGCCTTTCTTCTAGGCCCAACTCAACTCCCTTAGACTTTGAATACCCCACCACACCTCCCTCAACCACACGATGATCATCATATACCAATCTTGATCTTGAAATGCTGGAGCAGATCATCTGTTTCAACCTCCTTACCAAAACACTGCTCCCCATGCAACCTCAGATCCTCCCAGAGAAACCTTTTCTTGTTGCTTTCCAGTTGTCACAACAGCTGTACCTACTCCTCTTTCCTCCCTGCCACACCTCCTACAAATAGGGTGCCTTTTCATATTCTTGTGATTCCTTGAGATCTTATCTGATTGAAACAGATTACTTTGTGCATGATCTCTCTGGCCCGAGACATGATCACAGCCAATTGCAATTGAATTCAAGATAATTCAACTGCATATGTGGCATATGTGGATTGGATGAGGGAAAAAAGGCGGGAAATTCAAAAAAAAAATTTCTCTTCCAATTAACATGTGCCACATATGCACTTGAATTCTCTTGAATTCAATTGCAATTTGCTATGATCATGTCTCCTCCCAACCTCTATATGAGATGGATTTTCCATAGAGCTATTCTTAGTCTGAAGAAATGATAGCGTAGTGAGGAAAGCCTTCCACCCCACACTCTGGGGACCTTTTGGAAAGATTAACCTCCTCTTCCCTGATCCCTGAAAAGAAATGAGAAACAGATACTCATCTCTCTCGTTGGATCGTTTTTCACCTACGAAGGTTTTAACTATTCCTCTCAATTTTCTGAACAGGTAACCAACCTCAGACGCAATACATTCTTCCATGATACTTGCCATCCACCATCCACTTTAATGCTTCTTCTGGAATTAAGAAAACCCCTCATTCCTCTCTCCAAGATCTTAAGTAAACCCCCACCTTTAACATCCATCTCCTGAAGTTCAAACGCCTTGGACTCCAACAACAAATTACGTCTTCTCATCGCCATTGATAACAGTCAAGCCGGAACCGATGAAAACTTAAATAGATCAGAAAACGGATAACGAGCAGAGCAAGAAGACAATGGCCATCAAATTATCATTGCCTATTCCTTTTGAAGCCTCCCTAACTCTGCAATCCTCCCCCTACTTCTCCTTTGTTAACCTCAGCCCCCTGGCCTTTACATTTAGGCTGTAAAATAAGAAACCTCAAGAGAATACAGTACAACAACCAACAAAGAAGACCCCTACTCCGGTTACTTGATCGGCAATCCCAGCCGTTTGGTTTTCTCTAATTTTTTGAAGAGAAATCCAGTGCACGGATCCAAATCTGAGACCAAGATGAAATCTCATCCTTCAAGATGTTGGTGAGAAGAGATTTCAGATGTCCCCCAGAATAGTCGCCGGAGAACGTGTTAAAAATCACTTGCCGTTCCAGCTCTATACATCCTCTAGATTGGTGCGATTACTTTGCAGCACATTTATTTGCCTATTTTTTGAAGTGAGGGTTCAATATGTTGAATTGTTCTATGGAATTTCACTATGGTTATCCAGAACTTAAAAGAAACTCATGAAGTATGCTAGGAGATAAATTTTGGTCCTCATTTTGAAATAATGCTGAAACTGTCTCCATTGTAATTTTGTAGGTACTTTACTGGTCTTCTCTCACCTTGGAAAGGTATTCTCCTTTTCGGCCCTCCAGGAACAGGAAAGGTTTGTTTAAATAATTTTTACTACCGTTGGTGATTAATATTATGAAATTTCAGTATTTTATTGAAGGTTTTCTTTTTCCTTCTTATTTCTTACTCATCTCGTTGTTCATAAAAGTATATGTCCTTCACACTTTCTTTGTCATATTGCTACTAGTCCTAAAAAATGCTTTTATGAAGTAAAATGTGTTGATGCGCATAAAGACTTGTAATTTTTGTTGAATATATACTTATATATATGTAACTCGAAGAGTCCCTTTCCAAATATAGTTGTCTTGTCTTGGACCATGCCGACACCCATTTAAGCACGCGATTTATCCTTTTTCAGCTATTATTTATATACTACATACATTAGTTATCCGGATACATTCTGTCTGTATTGTATATTTTTACGAAGAGATGTTAATGATATAAATTGTTCACATTATGTCGCCGTGTAGTCTGTTCTGTCAGAAATGGCATTGTTTTCCCGTTGCATCATTGTTCTTACACATGGACAGCCTGGAAGCTGAGATGGCAAAGCAAAGGGATCCACCTATTCCACCACTCATCCCCTCTCCAAGTGGCAAGTTTCACTCTTTTTGATAAAAAAAGTCATTTTTTACTTAAAAACAAAAAAATTCAACAGCCACTATTCACTTGGTTAAAGTCCAATAACTGACAAGGTATAGGGCTGATTTGAAGATGGGGACTGTTCATTTGGCTAATCCAGAGGGTTCCATGTCAAATGGATGATTTAGATGTCTATGCTAGGCTGCTAGCACTCCATGTGGAAGAAAACCCTCTATCCCAACCGGAAAATAAGTCATTTGTCTCTAAATTATTTCTTTTGCCTCCAAATATTTCAAATTAATTGGAGGATTTGTCAACCTATTGGTTTAGCAGAAATATGAGAAAAAAGGAAACCCTAGTTGCGTTTGTATGGAGGAAGAAGAAGAATACGCATGATTTGTCTACAAAAGAGAATGAGTGATCCAATGTCGATATACACTCTATCTATTTTATTATTAAAAATATTGGGTGGACATAAATACCCCCCACTAAGGTGTAAAACATGTGCACACTAATGAGAAACACAACATCTAGTTCAAGCAGGGCATAGATATCTAACATGCCTAGCTTGTCAATATAGTGATGTCGATTAGCCGCCATTGCATTTGTGAGTATGTCAGCCAAATGATCCTCTATCTTAACAAATTCAGACTAATTATCTTCAACCCCACTTTCTCATGAATGAAATGTATGTCAACTTCGATGTGCTTTGTTTTGTCAAGTTGTACAGGATTATGTGCAATACTAACGGCTACTTTGTTATCACAATACAATCTCATCTCTGATTGGATTGAAAATCTAATCTTTGTTACGAGGATCTTGATCCACAATGTCATGAGTATGCCCTATTCTCTGCCTCATGGCTAAACCTTGCTACGACCGTCTATTTCTTAATTTGCCACATAACTAAATTTCCACCAACAATAGTACAATACCCTGATGTGGATCTTCTGTCTGTTATTGAGTCTTCCCAATTATCATATATTATATATATAGCCTTCAACTTGTGTCCATTCTTTTGAAAAAGCAAACTCCTACGGAGAGAAGACTTGAGATACCAAAGTACTCTTTCAGCTGCCTCTAGGTGTATAGTCTGTAGCTTATGCATAAACTGACTAATTGCACTAATAGCATAAGCTATATCTTGGCATGTCAAGAACAAGTAAATCAGTTTCCCAACCAGCCTTTGGATCATCGCAACATTCTCTAGAGATTCTCCACCATCATAGTTAAGTTTGAGATTAGCCTCCATAGCCCATAGGTGTATCAACTGCTTTGGCACCCAATTTTCCTGTCCAACACATACTTTCTTTGGGATGAAGATGCTTTTCTTGGACCTAGCAACTTCAATTTCAAGGAAGTACCTCATGGGCCCCAGATCTTTAATTTCAAACTCTTTTGCAAGAAACACATTGAGATTCTGAATCTCTTGAGGATTGCCACGTTTTACCACAATATCATCCACCTAAACAATTAGAGTTGTGGAAGTGCTACCCAGACGCTTCACAAATAAAGTGTTGACATGTATGCCCACCAAAGCTATATTTACTTGTTTATCTACTTTTTCAGATTTAATAAAATTTTTATTTATTACATGGCGCAGTCACAAAGAAAGATGGTCAAAAAAGTCTTCTCCATGCTACAGGAAAACCGGAATACTTAATTGATCGCCTTATGGACCTCTCTAGCGTGTTGTCTTCGCCGAAGCTACCCGAAGTTGTTCACTATAGCATAGCGAAGGCACCAAAACTTTTCTTCATGGTAGGTATGCTACATGAGATGAAAATCAAATATGGAAAAGGATGGACTAGCTTAATAATCCATATATTGATAAGGGCACTATGATCGTCAATCTGGCTTAAACATCCTTATACGACATCAAGATGGGGGGACAACATTCATTGTTTATGGGTATTTATGTTAATGCCTCATATGATGAGAGCATAAGGTTCATTCCGTAACACTGTAGATGGTTTTCTAGTTCCTTGTAAACCTAGAATTTTCTAAGCTATACGTATTGATTGGACGTCATACTCTTTTATGACTTACACATGGTTAGGGCTGTAGGGTAGTATCCATTCACTTCATATTCGCCTAGAGTTCGCTCCCAGAAATATAGCCATCCCTACCCCCTCACGGTAATCCCACGAGCCTCTTATCCATTCTAATTCGATCACGATGGGGGAGCAAGTCAAAATAGAAAAATTCCCATTGGGTATAGGGATAATCTGGCTCGAACTCGTGACTTCCAGCACGTCAAGGTGACACTCTACCACTGAGTTATATCCCTTCCCTGCCTCCATAGAGAAATAGAACTGACTAATCCTAAGGCAAAGGGTCGAGAAACTCAACACCACTATTCCACTATTCCTGAACAACTTGGAGCCCGGGCCTTTTTTTTGCACTATTACGGATACGAAAATAATGAGAAAAGTTGGATTCAATTGCCAATTGCTCCTATTGGAAATAGGATTGACTACGGATTCGAGCCATAGTAGATGGTTTCATAAAATCCGTACGATGTAACTCATTATAGAGATTATTGAATTCTCAACTAACATGTGGGTATATGTAATTATTACATGTACTGAACTGGATCGCCTAATGGAAACCCTATGGATTGATCACTATGACATTAAAGAAAAATTCATCAATACATAGTCCTCAGACCTAAGAGATTAACATCGTCTCTTGCATTTTTTGCATGGCTTTGATGTTACCAAACATTGATATCCAATCAAGGGTTAAATATAGGCACATTGGTTCATGTACATAAATGTTTGAAGGAGTGTAAATGCTCAATAAGGAATCCATCGCTCCACTATAATGGAGAAGAATATTAAATATGATGTTTTATTAATTCGGACTCAAAGAAATCCACGCGTGTGTTTTGGTAAAGAGTTTTATCGAGAATTATATTTGGATTATCAAAATATATATTATTATTTGTTTCTTTACAAAAAGTTTTCCCTAAAGAGTTTGGGAGCCCGAATTGAAGAACATCATGAATAATTCAAATGTATAAGTCGGGATTTGATAGTGAGTCAGTGACTCTAAGTCCATTCCCTAAGGCTTATATGTAATATTGTATGATGGAATGACTAATAGTGATGTAACATGTAGAACATGTCCTCACATGTAATTTTTTATTCTTTGAGGGTTAGATCGTAATGTGATGATTACTAATTTACGATTTGTGGAAGTCTAGGGGTATTGATGAAATTCAATTACCATAATGGAATTATAGGAAAGGGTTTCCTAGTTACACTAGGTTCTAAATTGAATCTAGTGAGTCCCACACTTTAAGAAGGAGGTCCTTAAAGATCCCAAACACTATAAATTCCTTGTTCACATTTATTATTATGAGATAATAATTCTTTAATAGTTATTCCTTCCATATGGATATGTGCATTAGAGAAAGAGGGCGTAATGAAAGAAAGTTTGACTTTCTTAATTTTGACTTTTAAGATATCTAATAAAATGAGTTAATTAGGATTAAAATAGTTTTAATCTTCAACTTTACTGTTCACCCTAGCGATCTCGGCCTGGTCATCTTGATCGTGATTGGTATGGGTTGAGACATTATCTTCCTCCATCGTGGGTGTATTTTGTCGGGATCTCAAAAGATAAGGCTCCGGATAAGCTGGGCCTGCGAAGACGAAGCTTTCTTTGGTGGAGCTATAATGGATTACCTGAAAAAATCAGAAAGAGAGAAAGATCAAATATAGAAAAAAACTCCGATTATGGACATTGAGGCGGGAATTTCTTTATCTAGGTTTTTTTTAAAAAAATTAGTAAAAAAGGTCGCCCGTAAGATTTAGGGAAAAGAGAAAAATGGGAAAGAGGGTTAATCCTCCAATTAGGTTGCCGGTAGGTCTTAAATCAAAATGGCGGGATAGAGGATGGTCCTCTAACTAGGGTCCCGTAGGCCTTGGGGAAAAATTAGAATCTAGATCAGCTAGATTGCCCGTAGGTCTTCAATCAAAATGGTGGGATAGAGGATGATCCCTCTAACTAGGGTGCCCGTAGGTCTTGGGGAAAAATCAGAATCTAGATCTACTAGATTACCCGTAGGTTTTCAATCAGAATGGTGGGGATAGAGGATGATCCTCTAACTAGGGTGCCTGTAGGTGTTAGGAAAAAATCAGAATCTAGATCAACTAGATTGTCCGTAGGTCTTAAATCAAAATGGTGGGGATAGAGGATGGTCCTTTAACTAGGGTGCCTGTAGGTCTTGGGAAAATCAGAATCTAGATTAACTAAGATTGCCCGTAGGTCTTACATGTTAAAAATGACTTACTTTTTTTTTGTTTGAAAAAAAGCTTTAGCTAAAGAAAAGTTCTTCACGGGTGTCAGTTGAAAATGGAGAGAGAATGGGAGAACGTGAGAGAAAAAAAAGGAATAGAGGTGAGGGAATTGTTTTCGTTAGTTATGATTACAATTACTTTAATACCCTTACTACTACTTTTATGTGACAATAAGATACCTGGTTCATTAGTAATATTAGAAAAAATTAACCTACCTCCACTTCTCTCATTATAATAGTAGAGATAAGCAATAAATGCGCAATAAATGACACCTTTATTGAATGTAAAAGGTAGATAAACAAGCAAATATGGCTTTGATCGGCATACATGTCTAACAAATTCTCCAAAAAACAAATTCCTCTTACCCGATCTATTTTTTTTTTCTAAGAGGTGGACTGACCGTCTGTGCAACTTTTGAGGTTAACCACAGGGTCAGCTAACATTAGCTACTGGCGGTAGTGCCTTGTGGTTCGTTTGTCCCTGGTAATCCCTGGAGATATTTTGAGTGATGCCTAACTTTGATACCAAGTAAAAATATGAGTAAAAAGACAACCGTAGTTGCTTGTATGGAGGAAGAAGACAAAGAATATTTATTGTTTGTCTGAGAAAGAGAATGAGTGATCCAACCTGGATACACTATATCTACTTCATTTGTAAAAATATTGTGAGGACATAAATACACCCCCACAAAGGTGTAATCATGTACACAGTAATGATTGACATAACTGATAACACACTATGGGCTTAGCAATTTAAGCCCATCACAACAGACTTTTCCAAATCAACATGCCTGGAACCTTGTATCCTTGTCTATTTTGACTGAGAAGGATAATGGTTTACAACACAAGTTGTGGTCCTCAACTTATGGTGTTTCTTCAAAAGAATGTCTCATTATAAAGTGGATTGATTTTTTATTTTATTTTATTAGTTGATATTTAAAATATTAATTGAATCGCCACTTCCATGTTGTGTAGACTATGCTGGCAAAGGCTGTTGCAACTGAGTGCAGGACCACTTTTTTCAATATTTCAGCTTCATCTGTTGTTAGCAAATGGCGTGGTATGTCACAGTTGAGCTATCGTTTTCCTAAGATGATCTTTTCATTATATTTCTTATAGCTCATTGAACCTAACTGGGAGTATCTATGCAGGTGTAATCATAATTCACTGTTCTTTAGCTCATTTTCTTTGCCATTGTGAATTATGTGTTCTATTTTTCCATATTTTCACAATACAAGTAACGGTAAGTGTAACTGTTGTGCAGCGTAGTAATAGTAATGATGAGTAAGATCAATTATAATTTTCAATGACATGACATCTAAGAGATAAGATCAATAATAATGGCTTCTTCACACGATAGGCTGATTTAAGAGAGAAGAATGGGACTTTAGAGGAATACGGGATCAAGGATGCAATGTCTAGAATTTTGACCTATCTTGAAAGTTGAAACATATCATGTAACTCATATCATTGGGACATTTATTTTAGATGTTTTGACTTATCTAGATAAATCTTCAAAAATAATTGCGCTAAAAATGGATTAAATGTTAAACAATAAAGATTATGAAGAAGTATCCTTCTCTTTACGTGTATAAATCATACAGGGAGTTAAATCTGACTTTGGTATCTAGCAATTTTCTTAAATAAGAACAAAATTTATCTGATAAGATGCTAAAAGTTGTGATAGGTGTAAATTTAAGGATAATGAATCAAAGAGAAAAGAAGAAAAGTGGAGAAAAGAGAGAATAGAAGGTGGGATGCCCAGAAATTGAATGGAATGTCCCATAGCTCGCTCTATTATATTGATGGAATAAAACTCACATTGAAATGATTAAAATACCAATTAAAACTAAAGGCATAGAAAGAAATAGGAAAAAAAACCAGAGATGACATGAAGTGTAAGTGTGTATTACCCAACTTTAGGTTTAAGGTGGGGGTAGGGTTAGAGGTTCGGTTCTGGAAAGACTTATGGTGTGGCCCCGTCAAGTTAGAAGATGACTTTCAAAACTTGTTCCGATTAGCGGCTGATCCAGATGCCTTAGTGGGGAGCTATGCCGAGTTAGGTAGTGCGGGGGTGGTGTGGTGCCCAATCTTGAGGCGAGATCTGAATGACTGGGAAATAGAGGAGTTGGGGCGGCTTCTTCTTCGCCTTAGGAGCCCCCCTTTGAGTCTTCAAGGCAGAGATATTAGGATTTGGTCCAGAGGCAACGCAGGCAGATTCTCAGTGAGATCTTTGTTTCAGTCTTTATGGTCAGTAAATTGTGCTCCTTTTCCTCATAGACTTGTGTGGAACCCAGGTATTCCCTCTAAGGTATCTTTTTTCTTATGGAATGCGGCATTGAATAAAATTCTTACATGTGATCACTTGCAAAATAGAGGGTGGAGTTTGGCTAACCGTTGTTTCTTTTGCCTCCAAGCGGAAGAGACGGTGGATCATCTGCTGCTACATTGTCCTTTTGTGGGTGAGATATGGGGTTTCTTCCTTTCCCGAGTAGGTGTAGACTGGGTCTTCCCTTCTTCCTTTCTGAGCTTCTTATCCTGTTGGTCGTTGGTAAGTGTGGATAGTGTGCGGGAAGCTATTTGGCCGGTTCTCCCTGGTGCCATCTCTTGGTCGATTTGGAGGGAGCGTAATAGGAGGGTCTTCGATGATTCCTCTTCTTCCCTACCTCGCATTTGTCATCGCATCCGCAGACTAGTGCAGATTGGGTTTCCATTCGCCGAGACAGGGTGGACTTGGGGTCTTTGTTGGTTTGAGTGTGTCTATGTCCGGCTAGATGTTTTGGGGTTGTTGGAGGGAACCTTTTATCTTTTCTTTGAGTTTACACCCTTGTAAACTCTTTTTTGTAGCTGTGCTCTTTTCTATGCAATTTATGGTTTATTGATCAAAAAAAACTAATAGGACCATGACAGTGGGTTCACCTGAGGTTCTTTGAGGGGTTCCACCATTATGTTAGATTGTAAGGGGGTGATTGGCGTATAATGGT